AAAAGCTGATCAATCATTGAGAAGCAAATGAGTAATTATAGTTTCCAGTTGCTTGCTTATAAATGACAAAACGAACTTTACTCGATGTACATAGAAGAGACGAGCAGGAAAATGAGGTGCAAAGGAGGAGTGTCATAGTAGGGTCAATGAAAGGCGAGGCAGTACAAAGAACATTGTGCAAGCCAACTTAATAAGGAAAACGCTTGCAACTAACCTTTGGCCGAGGTCGAACATCTTTCGTCCCAATACTGAACTCATCAGCGAATTGTAATCTGCAATAGGAGAATAGCAACAATAGAGTGAAGGTGATGATCCGCGGCATCGCCTATGCCCGCTAGGTAATACTAGCTCTAGCCAAATTTCGATACAGATTTTCCCGCTGAATAAAGCGGAGCAGAAGCAGCTGAGCGTCTTCTGATGAGTCCGTCAACGGAGGCTGACGGCTATCAGTTCGGATCTACGCCAACAACACGCTCCGCCCCGGTGTGCTCTGTCTCTCCGCTTGGCCTCTCGCTCTCTCCCACTCGTTGCCCAGAATAGGCGGTTCAGCTAGGAGCAGATCACCTTTTTTCTAATCGTAAGTGCTACAATGCTTTGCAAACAGCTCTATAGATAAGGTCATGTTGTTGTGAAACGAGACAGACTTTTTCCGACAAGGACTTTGCTACCTGCTCTGCGTAAAAAGCTAAAAAGTCAACATTTGCCGAGGACATGGGAATTAGTAACGAATTCCAAAGATATGCAATGGATGAGGGAAATTTGAAAGGCTCGGTTTCCTCTGATCATCACGTCAAAAAACCGCGATTATGAGTCATCAAATAATTCAAGTCACCCGCATCCCGTTCACTTAACTGAAACGTGGCGATTTGAGCAAAACTGCAATCTAATATTGGTGAGATATATTCTACTAAGTAAGCACTTTGCTAATTTCCGTGGTAAGCACAAAACAACGTGGTTGGTTCCATAATTTGTCCATATCTTCGCGCTTTGGTCACTTTGTTGTTACGTTCGGGTCGAGGGCAGTTCTCAGCAAACTAGAGGATTATACTTGTGCAAACAACTGACTAGCCACATAGTGCACAGAGTAGGTGGATTACGTAGATTTCGTTCTCCTATCAATCTTAAATGCCGTTACTG